GTTTGTTGAATCTGACGTGACATGTTCGTACGAACCCTTCGTATGAACAAAAGTAAGAGAAATTTAGGATAAGAATACGAACATGTTCTTGCATGAGGCCCAATGGATGTAGCGTTCCTTCACCAGGATGCGAGTCATCAGGGCCCCACTCTGGAGGCAGGCCTGGAGGTTGGGCARGGTGGCGAGTGCCTGTTGGCTGTAGGAGTCAGGTGCAATGTGCAAAGGGCAGTGGTCGAGGGCGAGGACCCRGGTGGTATGATCCTTGGCTACAGAAACTGACTGTAGAGATGTAGAATATCACCTCTCTGGTGGGGAACTCTCACCTTCAATAGAGTTTTTCACTTAAGAACATGCCCCTTTTCCACTAGTGCCACTTGTTGGTACGGTTCCAAGCGGTCCCAGTTGACACCAAAATGCGATGTCAGAACACTGTTGGTCACTGATTGGCTAGGGGGTGGAGTCACTGGTTGCGTATGAGCTGTCTTTACAACAACAACTCGAGGCACCATTTTTTCAATTGTAGCAGTGACATTAGTTGTGTTTCTATCCAATTTTTATTCAAATTTTTAGCAAATTATTAAAATTTCAGAACTTAATAGGCAAATGTCTTTCCATCTCTCATTTTGCGCATAAACCCGAAAACCACCTCCACCAACCACCCAAAACACACCCACTGGAACCAGACTGGAACGTCAATGGAAAAGCACCCGAACTGACCCGTTCTGACACTGACCGTACCGACACTACACTAAGTGGCACTAGTGGAAAAGGGGCACAAATGGACCATGTTCAGGGCCTGCTTCCCGGAGCTGTGGTCTGAAGGTCATTGACCCTGTCTCACCAGCCATGAACATCACTGGTGACATCGTGTAACTGCCTGTGAAATGTGACCTTAGCAAAAAACAGGTATAACTCAGTCATTTGACAGATATTAAGCTCTAATTTGGCGTGGTAGTAGCTGAGGGTCATCCTCACCAGCAGCTTTGCACCAGCTGCAGTGGTAATAGCATCCTCTGTGTCGTTTAGTCAGGTCTAAGTGAAGTCTAGAGCAGTGGTTCCCAAACTTTTTATCTTATGACCCACAAAATATCCATGGCAAAAACTTGTGACCCCAAATATTACTGGTCTGAGTACACGAACTTTGTTAATAACCC